ATAGACTAGTTCGTTATCTTGTGGCAGTAGGTATGTTAGTCCATCATTTGTAAATAGTTTACCTATGTTTCTGTTGTTCTTAGTCATGAATACCTTTCCACCTCTGAAAGTGGTTTCTATTGCATTGTCTATGCTTAACTTCAGGGTTGCCAATATGTTATTTGGAATTTCGGGCACAAATAGTACCCCCTCTATTTTTCCTATACCTTTTATATGCGTGTCTCCTATTCCTCTCACTAGGACTCTATTTTGGTTTGCTACTTTAATATAATATTTCTTTTCAGTGAAGTTACTTAATATTTCTCTATTATGAGTTGTATGGCATGTGGCTCCTGAATCTATGAGCCAGGTGTTGAGTGAATCAGATATCAAAGTGTTATTATTTCTTATTCCATATAGTGATCCTTTCTTATTTTTTCTAGGGTTATTTCTGTATGTTTGTCTTTCTCTAGAGTGTGGTGATTCTCTTCTCTTATACCTGTAATCTGGGGAGGTTCTGTCTAAAAAGTGTATTCTTCTATCCTTGTGTTTATATGAGTCACTGTATCCTATATTCTTGGGACAGTCTCTACTCTGATGTCTTTCAGATCCACATGTGAGACATTCATGTGGGTATCTGTCTCTGGCCCTGAAATCAGTCCTTCTTTGATTTCTACCTTCTCTTTGTTGTGTATATCGCTCTCTTCTAAGTCTATCTTCAGTAATAAGCTTATTGGTAAGGTTTTCTAAAGTAATTTGCTCTATACTTAGGTTATCTATTAGTGTAATGTAGTTATCCCAGCTGTGATCTAGTGAGTTAATTATAATGCTTTTCATGGTGTTGTCAGAAATGGTTTCTCCCCTTTGAATAAGGTCTGCTCTTACAGCGTTTAAATTCAAGATATGCTCACTCATGGATGTATCATGTTTTAGTTTGGCAGAATAGAATTCCCTAGAGATTTTTGTGGTAGTGGCTACATTTTTGCTATAGAACAGTCTGAATAATTTTTGATATACTTCAAATACAGTTAAATTATGCTCTATACTGGGGAGTATACTTGGGGAAATAGAAACAATTAACATATAGTATGCTTTGTGGTGGAGGCAGTCTATTTCATAGGTCCAAGGCTTATTTGGTGGGTTATCAATAAAAAATAAAACATTTTCTTTCATATATACAATCTGTAAACACTGATCCCATTCCATTAAGTTGCTTCCATCTAATTTCAATTTTATAAAGTCTGGAGGTATTGTCCCTGAGTGTAGTGAGGTGTTATTCATGTTTAGTAGCTGTCCATGATTTAAGACCTTAGCATACTCACAATAAGGCCTGGGTATGGTAGATGTATGTCTGTATTTACTTATCTCTATGTTGCGCTGACTTGTATTTATGTTTCCTTCTTCTTTCTTTGCAGGCTCGTTCTGGGCATGCTCAGTCCTCATTTTTCTCCAGCAGTCGATGAGGGAGGTTCCTGTGTCTGCAGCTCCTGGGGTGAAGTCCCAGACGGCCTTCTGTTGCTCTGCTTTGTTTCCGGAGGGCCTCTGGTGACTGAAGAATGCCTGGGGTGCTGCTCTGCTCATCGGGGAGTCTTCTCTGAGGTTGTCAGTAAGTGGAGCTTGAGGCGGGCCGCCATTGTCAATGGAGCCGGGTTGTTCAGGGAGCTGCTCTTCAGTAGGTAAGTATGATTGCCAGCTTGTCTTTCTTCGGGTGGCTAGGCCTTTCTTTAGACAGTCTATTTCTTTTTGGCCTTTGGTAGATGGTAGTTTAGAATTTTCTATTTCATTTTCTGGTTGTTTGTTTGGTATTGTTAGTTTAGTCCCGAGTGCTGCAGTTAGCACCTGTATAGCATTGTCTATTTCTACTTCAGTAGGTTGAGCTTTGTTTGTTTAAATAATTGTTTTTTATTTGTTTTTGGACTCGGGTAATCATCTTCTTGGTAGGTTTTGTTTTTTATTTCGTAGTTTGAGGTTTGGAATTCTTTTAGTAATTGGTCAGGCATTTTAGAGGTATTAGGTGGGTAAGATGGCTGCCATGAAAAAGGCGGGAAGCTGTCGCCATCTTTGGTGTCATTTTTGAAGTCAGGGGTTGAATTTCTTACCTTGCAGTTTTCTTGTTTGTTATTTTTCGTTATCTGCTGCTGTTCCGTGGTCGTTTATTATGCTGCGGATTTTCACAAGCAGATTTGATTCAGCTGTAGTTGTTTCTATTAATTCTAGTATTTTACTTTTTACCTCATCTTCTTTGTTTGGTGTTAGCAGTTCATTTTCTTGTAATTGCGTTTGTTTCTTAATATTTTCAAGTGGTGTATATTTGTCAGGAGTTAGTTGAGCTGCCATTCTTTTCGTTATGTATCTGGTGGCAGGTCTTCTTTTGTCGTTATGTGAGTCTTGCATCTTTATGTTCGGTTGGGCCTACCAAACCATCCTCTTGCTACCAATTTGTTGCTAGTTTGGTTATCCTGGTTAGGCCCATATATAAGAGACTGTAGGCTTTCTTGTAATAGTAATATTTATTTCTTTTCTTTCTCAGGAACACAATTAGACAGGCACTAATCTGGGAGGAGCAAGAACTTATATATACAGAGAAGGCGGGGCTAATGGTAAGTACTAACCAATGGTAAGTGACACAATGACATCACACAATGACATATAAACAAGCACACATATTTACAGATATCAGGTTAGGTATTTTCATCTGTAACAACTTCAACTCCCAGAATTCCTCAGCCAGCAAAGGAAAGCTGGCTGAGGAATTCTGGGAGTTGAAGTCTACAAGTCTTAAAGTTGCCAAGGTTAGAGACCCCTGTTCTATTGGGTAAGTTTTTTTCCCCTTTGGGAGCTTTAAAAAAAATAGTCAATTGGGGTTTTTTTAGTTGTTCTTTTTTAGACCTAGCCATTTAAAGTTTATGAAGTTTTAAATTTAGCTTTCATATAAAAATAAAAATAAAATAAAATTTGTGCAGCTTTGTGAGATTTAGTGTGTTTCTGTAGTGTTTCACTCTAACTACACAAACACACAAAATCTCACAAAGCTGTATGTGGAATTTTGTGTGTGTAAAGTGTGAAAGTTGGTTTTTTGGACTTTTTGTGGCTGTGTGAGGTTCCTGCTTGTTGCAGGGGCCATTTTGGACTAGCACAGCTGCTTTTACATTGTGGGTGAGCCAGTTGTGTTGTGTGTGTGTAGAGTGTGAAAGTTTTTTGGGGGGCTTTTTTGTGGCTGTGTGAGGTTCCTGCTTGTTGCAGGGGCCATTTTGGGTCTAGCACAGCTGCTTTTACATTGTAGGTGAGCCAGTTGATGTTTTTTAATTTTTATTTGGTGTGCATTGGAAGAGGGGTAGTCTTATATGGCGAGTATAGCCCAAACCCTATATTTTAACAGGAAAAGTTGGGGGTCGTCTTATACGCCCAGTCGTCTTATACGCCGGAAAATACGGTACTCATGATAGAACCTCACAAAAACATGTTTTGATGATACACTATTTTGATTGCCTCTTACATAAAACAGTGATTTACAATTTTACTTTCTAAAGAAATACAGTAGAGTCCAATATGTCTGAAACATCTTTTCATTGAGTAAGTTACAGGTTAGTAAAACATTACATATTTCAGGATAATTTCCCATTGTTTAGACAAAATAGGAAGTTTAATTTTCTTGTTCCTTGAAATTTTAAAGATAAGGAAGTCTTTAAAATGTGCATGTAAAATTGTTCATCAGTAACCAGTATAAAGACTAAAATTGGGGTTTTAAAAAAATCTTATAGTGATCACTTCTATTTGTTTAGGTGTCCCTGAAGCTGAAAATGTCACTTTTTCCAAATTGAGATGCCAATAAAATGTTGTAACTGTAACTATCATTTAAGTGTTGAAACAGACAAATAATATTTATCCTTTAACATCAGAAATGTTGCATTAGTTTATTAAAGACATAAGTTACATCTTGGCTTTCAAAGTGGTTTACAAAGTGCCATACAATATAAAAATATAGTACCCCCTCTAAACTAGGATACACAATCCTATGCCTTCACTATATACTGTATATGCTTTAGTAAAATGTGAAAATGGGAGAGGGGATAGGTCTATGGAAAACACAAAAAGAACAGGGTCAGGTCAGATTTACTGATCCACACCCAAATTCACGGCATTTCAGTATCTACTTACAGGAATGCAAAAACTTCAGTACATCCCATTTGGGGGCTCTAGTTATTTTCCAATGCTCAACTTAAAAATGCTGCCCGCTTTGGAGGCCAGATCACCTTTTTGAGGGCTTGTGTGTTTTGTACAGTTTCTAGTGCTGCTTTACTTTGTTATGTGAAAGGCACTACAAAACCCAGCTGAAAGTAGCCTGCTGTATTAACTTTATACATGGCAGATGTTCAAGTATGCTTGACGGGCTACACCGACTTTGGCAGTGAAGACACTTGCATAAGGAAAAGCAGAGCATTTTCCTACCTTGAGAGCAAGATTCATATTTGTTCTCCTGACAATTAGCTGTAAAAGGTAGATTTGGAGGAAGTGTTCCAGCCCTGAGAATATCAACACTAATGCTTATAAAGGGGAGAACAGAATCACAGCAGACCAAAATAACAGCTAAACAACATGTGTATTGTATAGTTGTTCTAATAGTATAAATGGCTGATTGTTAATTCTAATAGGAGCTACTTGTTTCCATTACAATCCACCTTCTTCAACATCCTCTAGAACACGGGTGTCAAACTCGCCATGTTACGTTGCCATCATGTGACGTTTTGTGACCATTTTTCCCTTCGCGGAGCTGGGGTGAGCGTGGCCTGTGCATGATGCATCCAGCCCACGGGCCACCAGTTTGGCACCCATGCTCTAGCATTATGTTTTGCACCTTCAGGAATTTTAAGATGCATGAATTTCAAATGCCAGCATTCTCCATGACAATGAGCAGACTCTGAACCTTAGACATATTTATTTCATGATCTGTTGGTTAAGGGGCTAAATCTCAGTTGTTACATGGGTCATCATAAACTGCTCAGGGTTCAGTCCTCTGCTAAAGTATCACACTTGCAAGTAAATTCAGACAACTTTTAAGAACTCATTTAATTTTTTAAAAAAGCAGACACTGTAAAAGCAAGCAGCACTTAGGCTGACCATCCCTTTCTTGATGTATCTAATGATTGTAGTTACCTCTAGAATTCTTTCCACTTTAATTGACCTTGGGTTCCCCCCTCCCTTTATTACCTATATGCTAACTATAACTATAGCACTATTATCATGGCCATGGATAAATGCCTTTGTAGGGTAGGGCTTGCCTCTTAAATTATTCCTATTTTCCACTCATGCCAACGTTACTCTAAATTGGCTTTAAAGAATCCTGTTAAGACTGAGACCCTTTGACAACAGCTTGTAACATATTCGGTCTGGATTTGACAACATCCAAATTAATAAATCAGCCTAGGTAACTATCAAGTCATTGTGCTGCTTCTCCTGTTCCAGGATATAGGACAGAAGCAACATCAGCCTAGAATTCCTGCCAATGGGAACCCTAGTTTTCCAGAAGCTCTGCCGATTTTCAATAATACACATGAAAATATCATTTTTTCCCCTGCAGCTGAATGGGAAATAAATTAGCCTAGCTGCCCAACAAACATAATACTGTGGAAACAGAAGAGCAGAGTTAATTCTGGAGCAGCACAAAGGGAGGTATTCACTGGCTGCAGAACATATAAAATGCTTCAGTAGTAATAATAAAGAAGAGGAGAGACAATGGGATGTCAAGAGTTGTAAGAGTTGGAGGATAATGTTACTTTTTGACTGGAGGGGGGGATTTGCAGGGCAACACAGTCTTGAAATTTGATCCTGATCATTTCAAAAATCTTTCATTTTCTTTCTTTCCTCCCAACATTCCCTCCGCTGTAGTTTAAACAATTTCCTTTGCTGCCATGGCAACACAAAAACAATCTCAGCACAATGAAAAGGATGGCAGTCTTTTCATGAATCCTGGGACCAACCAGAACAGAATTAAAAAACAACAACAACCAGGAAGAATACTAGAAATGTAACCTCAAGGGGAGATAATATCAGGTTATGCTTTCCAACAGGTTTCTTTACTTTTCTAGTTCTGGTTTCATACAAAACTTCTTTATGGATTAATGTTGCTGTTATGAAATTGAGCTACACTTAATAGCATTGTTAAGCTCTAAGTCAGATGAGAACGTCCTATAATGAAATATAACTCTGCTTTTAGAAGCAAAGGGAAGATTCCTGAAGCTGCATTGCATTCATCTTAGAAATGTCCAATCTGTCCCTCTTAAGTCGTGGCACTGGGCAGGTGATCAGAAAGAAACAGGAGAAGCTGGAAGTGCATTTTGATTCCCAGGTGAGTTGAGGTTTTAATACAAAAAATGAGTTACTAATACAAATCAGCTTATGCTTCCCCATCCACCACTAAGTGTGTTGAGTCTCTGATCATCTTGTGCAGAGTCTTAGGATAAATATTAAACAAGAATAAGATTTTTGACTCTTGAAAATAATTCCAAAATGAAAGAAAGACTGTTTTTTCTTGGTTTTGTTTTGTCTGAGAGATGGGGTGCCTTTTTCTTTTGCCTGGATAGTATTTCAACACTAGGAGTCTTGTGAAATTATCCTCTTCTGTTTTAAAACTGACAGTAACATACTGCATGCCAGAACTTCAGTGATTCCAGAATGATGGACTTTGGTGGTGGTCAGTTTAAATCTTGGCTAGAGAGTGTTGTTTCTTATTAATTAAGGATTTTAATATGCCTCTTTTGCACCAATTGGGGCAACAATGTGAAGTATGATGATGTATCAGAACTATGGAGAAATCACATTGATTCTGGAGATTTGGTAGATCAATGAGATGATAAGAATAGGGTTCCAAAATGGTATCGAGGCGGCACAATCTGGAAAGATGAACAGTTGTATTTTTTTCTACAGACTGCATAGCTATGGTAACAGCAATTTAGCTCATTGTAGTAAGAACTGTAATAATAAGTGGATGTAACATATACTGTAGAAGCTTGCCCAAGAGAGATCTAACCTAGAATTAAGAAGAAATTTCCTGTCAAAGAACAATTAATCAATAGAACAGCTTGCCTCCGGAAGCTGTGGGTGCTTTAGCACTAGACATTTTTAAGAAGAGATTGGACAGCCATTTGTCCAGAATGGTAGAGGGTTTCCTGCTTCAGCAGGGAGTTGGACTAGAAGACTTTCAAGGTCCCTTCCAACTTGGTTATTCTGTATTCTAGTACTATTAAGTTAAGTAGTTTCCTCACTATTGCCCAGTCGTCTACATCTAATGAAATAAATGAATATTTGGGAGGGGGGGTACAATAGGATCAAAGATCTTGCTAATGTATCAAAAGAGTTGATCTAGAGTGCAATGATTTAGCAATTCTGCTAAAAAATAGATTTTCAGAATCTTCTGTTTTGTTACTAGCATTTTGCTCTAGAAAGGGAAATCTGTACAGAGCCAATATGAAGTAATTGCACTCTAGGTTTTTAATTTTGTTTTTGATGTTATCGTTCCCAGTTTTGTCAGATTTTATCTATAAAAATATTTTGACCTAAAAATGCAAGTGCAAAAGTAATATGAAAAGCAATGTGGTATTTGTAGACAACCATTTGTTTTATTTCAGAACTGTCTGCTTTATTTTGTTATGCTTGTTTTTTGGAAGTATCATATCTCTGCACATATTCTTCCCTTTTCTCTTTATTTTAATGAAATATGTATTTGCCTAACCTGGGAAAAGAGAAATAATGAAAACAGATCAGCTCTTTCGAGCTGGAAAAGAATAAGTGGGCAGAATTTCTTAACAGGAAGCTTTCAAGTAACGTTATAGCTTAAAAAAAAAACTTTTATAAGCAGACGACATAGGATGATTTTGAATAGTTAAATATGACATTAAATAGTATATGTTTATATATCAATTTCCAAATTTTATTCTATTTCAGCTGATTATAGTTTTGTTCAGCAACACTGAAGAATTCTGGAAGAGAAATAATGTGTAATAATCAAAGTAGATGTTTAGAATGATATATTATTGATCTTTCAGTCACTGAATTAGTAAGAAAAATAAATTTAAATTGTTCCAGTGTTATTTTCCAATTATAGTATCTATGGTGATGGAAACAAATAAGCGTCCTGCCAAATCCAATGGATATTTACTTAAAAACAAATCTCATTATATCTGGTGGGGCTTACTCTCAGAAAAGAGTGAATATTTTGCAGCTTTCCTATATATTATGATATAGTATTAAAACAGAGAAATTAAACTGTGCGAGCTGTACTGCGCAAGCTGCACTGGCTCCCGGTGATCTTCTGGGTGCGATTCAAGGTGTTGGTTACCACCTTTAAAGTGCCCCATGGCTTAGGACCTGGGTATGTACAAGATCGCCTTCTGCCACCGATAGCCTCCCACCAGCCAATACGCTCCCACAGAGAGGGACTCCTCAGGGTGCCGTCAGCCAAACAATGTTGACTGGCGACACCCAGAGAAAGAGCCTTCTCTGTGGGGGCACCTGCCCTGTGGAATGAACTGCCCCTGGAGATTCTCATGATCACAGACCTGCGCACCTTTCGCCGTGCCCTTAAGACTCTTTTATTTCAACAGGCCGGGCTGGCTTAGAAAATGAATTTTAACTGGGTGTTTGTAGCTTTTAACATAAGGGCCAAATTTTATATATTTTAAATTTTAAATTGTTTTAAATTTTATGGGTATATGTTTGTTTTAATATGGCTGTACACCTCCCTGAGCCCTTCGGGAGAAGAGCGGTATAAAATTTAATAATAATAATAAATAATAATAAATTAATAATAATAATAATAATAATAATAATAATAATAATAATAATAAAAAACACTTTAGCTAATAATATTTGTTTCTTCTTAATTAGGTGCTATGAGTATTAATTTTCTGAGCATTTTAAGTTTTCAATTTGTTCTCAGTCCATATAATAAAACCTTTCCTTTGCTTATTATGATTGACTGTTTCATTTTCTGCTTTTAAATATTTATATATCCATTTTTCTTAATGGCAAATGCTACAATAGACCAAACTACTGTACCTTTGACTAAGCAGTTTTATTTATTTTTTTTCTTTCAGTGTTCTTATGGTGGTAAAATAACTTTATTGTTATGGATTTCACTTTTCAAATTCTTTTTTTAATGAAAAATGTAGAAGGAAACTCTAAAATCAAACCTACCCCGTGGATCACACATAGGCTGAAATCTTGCATCTTTATTAATGCCCTGGCTTATTTTCTTGTGACTTTCGAAATCTTTATCTCCACAATTCATTTATTCAGACAGTCATTCATGTAGGCAGTCGAGGAAGCCCAGTATAAATCTACTGGACAAGTGGCTGAAGTAAATATGTAAACCCCCTAAGCGTCATTGTCCTTGCATATCTCTGATATCCTGGAGAGCTGACACACTACAAGCCCCCATCCCAGAGATCAATCATGTGTAGAGATGGTGTCACGCTGGGCCATAAACAATATACAGGAGGGATTCATGCAGGCAGAATCAGATGGGAAATGAAAGAACCTATCACATCACAGTGAGGGTCAAAACAGAAACAGGAACTAGGGAAGTCTGTCAAGGAGGAGTGTAGATTACAATTGATCCAACGTCTCTGAGCAAATTATGTGGGCTCTAGAAGGAATTTATCCAATTCATTTCTGTTCCTTCCAAACAGCAGAAAAGTCAAGAATTCTGCCAAATATGTTAGATGCCTTCCTTTGATTCTCCATCAAAGAAGTCAAGTCTGAAGAGCTGTGGTTCAAATCTGCATTTTTATATTGTGTTTACAATAACTATGTATATTGTTAGGAGTAGACTCATATTTGACCCTCTTGCTCCTGAGGAAGTGGACAGGATCCTAGGGAGTATGCGCGCAAGCACCTGTGTATTAGACCCATGTCCCTCCTGGCTTATGAAAGCGTCCCAGAAGGTGACAGGCGGGTGGACTCTGGCGGTGATTAATACTTCCCTACAGGAGGGGGCAGTGCCCCAGCACTTTAAGGAGGCTGTGGTCCATTCTTTTCGTAAGAAGCCATCCATTATCAGTTGGATAATTTCCAACCTGTCTCCAATCTTCCCTTTTTGGGGAAGGTTGTCAAGAAGGTGGTTGTGTGGCAGCTCCAGAGGTTTCTGGAAGAAATGGGTTATCTTGACCCCTACCAGTCAAGGTTCAGGCCTGGATTTGGGACAGAAATGGCATTGGTTGCACTTTTGGATGATCTCTGGCGAGAGTGGGATGGGGTAGTGCATCCATCCTTGCTTTACTTGACCTCTCAGCTGCTTTCAATACCATCGACCATGGTATTCTCCTGGAGCAGCTTTGGGGATGAGAATGGGAGGCCTTGTGCTATCCTGGTTCACTTCCTTCCTCTGTGGCCGTTCTCAACCAGTGCTGATAAGAGGGGAGAGATCCAGCCCTCGCCCACAGCTGTGCAGGGTGCCACAGGGCTCGGTACTCTCTCCACTCAACATTTATATGAAGCTCCTGGGTGAGATCACCCATCCCCATGGACTGAGGTATCACCGATATGCTGATAATACTCAGCTATATGTCTCAGCCCGTGGTGAGTTAAGTCATGCTGGGTCCTCCCTCTCGCAGTGCCTCGAGGCTGATAGGGGTTGGATGGGGAGCAATGGGTTGAAACTAAACCCTGGCAAGACCGAGTGGCTCTGGGTTTGGGGTTCTTTGGTTCATGGATAATTTCCATCTTTGGTCTTGGATGGGTAGCACTATCCAAACAGACCCTATGCATAATCTGGGGGTTCTCCTGGACTCATGGCTCCTGCTCAAAGAGCAGGTGATGGTCGCGGCCAGGAGGGTCTTCATGCAACTGCGAGTTGTGCGCCAGTTCCCTACTCACAGTCACACATGCCTTAGGCATTTCCTGTCTTGACTATTGCAACATGCGTTACATGGGGCTGCCCTTGAAGAGCATCTGGAAGCTCCAGTTAGTGCAAAATGCAGCAGCCCGCACAGTTTTGTGCAGACCCCGGTGTGCACATATATCACCTCTCCTGTGGGAGCTGCATTGGCTGCCGATTTACTTCCAGGTGCAGTTCAAGGTGCTGGTTGTCACCTTTAAAGCCCTTCATGGCATGGGACCAGGTTATCTGAGGGACCGTTTCTCGCCGGTCATATCTACCCGACCCATTACAGTGGGGAGGCAGGGAATGCTGCGAGGCCCATCCCCGAGGAAGATACACCTGGTGGGACCCAGAAGAAGGGCCTTCTCTGTGGTGGTTCCCTCTCTCTGGAACATCATTCCCCCAGAGATTAGAATGGCCCCCACCCTAATTCTCTTCCAGAAGGCGCTGAAGACCTGGTTCTACCAGCGGGCCTGAGGAACCCAGAGCTGGATGGAGTCCATTAAATGGCTCATGTGATCGGCTGTCACTGGGGCGGGAAGTGGGGTCAGGGGTGATTTTATTACATTAATTTATTTGATTTTTTTTATGAGTTTTACTGTTTTTTAAATGTGGTTTTTTATATGCTGTAAGCCGCCTTGAGTCGTCATGGGTGAATAGGCAGCAATATAAATCTAATAAATAAATAAATAAATATTTACTATGGCTGTAAAAAAAACAATTGGGAGGGGGAACTTTATGAAGCATATCTCTCCAAATCCTTGCTCAAATACTCAAAGCAATGTTTCCTTCCAAAGGCTCAGCACAGCTGCTTTGCTTTGGCTACACTTATAACAAAAGACCATGTATGTAGGCACAAACATACACAGAAAAAGTGGAGGGACCCTTGAAGCAGCTGCACCAAGTTTTCAAGAAGATACAATTCTTCAGGAACTCTTTTGCAGTGCCTCTTCAAATAGCTTTCCACAGTCTCACTTTTAGGCAGTGAGAAAGTATCACATCTTGCAGGCTGGATCAAAACATCAATCAGATGATATAGCAGAAGCATGTTTCTATCAGACATATTATTTGGAAAGGACTTCAGAAGCCGCCACTTGAATAGCAATGCCTCATAATGTTATGCCTCAGGACTTCCCCCATAGTCCACAGCGGAAGTCACGAGCCATGGCTAAGTCTGGATAAATTACTACTGGAAGCTATGATGATCCCCTGTGGATGCTGAAATGTAATCCCTCTTTCTGAGGTTGTAATCTTATGACTCTGTCATCATGTGGGAATTGCAGGAATGGCCTTCGCTAGCTGCCAGCAGCTTCTGGGCCCTCCAAGTAGTCACATGATGACCCCCTCCTTCTCTCATTGGTTTAATATGTGCAACCCATGCAATGCTCTTGAGAAGCTGCTGGGGTTCTGCTTCACTGATCCAGAGAAGATCAAGCTGCAACATCAGAACTGTCTTCAGCTTTTTTATTATTATTTAAATAGTAAATAAATAAAAACCCTAGAGGACTCCAGGGGACTGTTCCCAAATTGTAAATTTTAAAGTGGTCATACAGGACCAGAGAGTAATCTTTATTTAAATACAATGGATTCAGTTTCTGATTTGAATCCACCTATTGCTTTGTGGGGAATAGCTTCTAAGATCCAATTTCAAGGCTTGTTGTATATTACACCCACTTGAATTAGACCCTTCCCACAGTGCAATTCAATGGTTATAATAAAATTATAACTATTTACCATATTTTTTGGTCTATAAGATGCACTCCCCCCCCCCCCAAAAGTGGGGGGAGATGCCTGTGCGTCTTATAGAGCAAATGTTTATTTTTTTTATTTTATTTTATATCGAATTTATATACCGCTCTTCTCCCTGAGGACTCAGGGTGGAGTACAGCCAAAGTAAAAACATAAACTACAAATATTAAAATACAATTAAAAAGATATATATATATATATGGCCCCATAATTAAAAGCAATGACAAACCAATTAAAAACATTTTAAAAAGTGTTAGGCCAGCCCGGCTTGCTGAAAAAAGAAAGTTTTAAGGGCACGGTGGAAGGCACCGAGGTCTTGGATTCTCCTTATCTCTGGGAGCAGCTGGTTCCAGAGGGTAGATGCCCCCACAGAGAAGGCCCTCCCCCTGGGGGTCACCAGCCTACAGTGTTTGGCTGATGGCACCCTGAGGAGGCCCTCTCTGTGGGAGCGCAAGGGTCGATGGGAGGCCGTCGGTAGCAGCAGGTGGTCTCGAAGATATCTAGGTCCTATGCCATGGAGCACTTTAAAGGTGATAACCAACACCTTGAAGCGCACCTGGAAGACCACTGGGAGCCAGTGCAGCTCACGCAGGAGTGGTGTTGTATGGGAGCGCCATGCAACTCCCGTAACTACCCGCGCGGCCGCATTCAGGACTTGCCGAAGCCCTGCCCGCCGGCCCCCACCCTTCAGCCTCTGCCTCCCAGCAATTTGCCTCCTTGCAGCAAACAGCCTGATCAGCTTCAGTACAGTCTGATTTAGCATGAGCAGTTGATTGGCAGTTGGATCAGCTTCCCCGGAATACCACCGATCAGCTTTCCAGGCTGCAGGAATCTCTGTCCATTGCCGCCACCACCTATTGCTGCCTCTGTGCACCCCATTTGTTGCCTCCGTGTGCCCCATTTTTTGCCTTTCCACATCCTGTTTTTTGCCTCCGCATGCCCCATTTTTGGCCTCCGTGCATCCTGTTTTCAGCCGATTCCAGGTAGTGGGGATCCATTCGGGAGCAATAGGTGGCTGCAATCCCCGCCACCTGGAACAGGCCAAAAATGGGATGCACAGAGGCCAAAAATGGGGCATGGGAGGTGGTGATAGGCAGCAGCGATAGGCAGCAGCGGCAATGGGTGGCAGTGATGGACAGTGGCAATCCCTGCAACCTGGAACAGCTGATAAGCAGTATTCCGGGAAGCCAATCCAACGGCCAACCAGCTGCTCGTGCTAAATCAGGCTGTGCTGAAGCTGACCAGGCTGTTTGCTTTTTGCTGCAAGGAGGCAAATTGCTGAGAGGCAGAGGCAGATTTTTTTTCCTTGTTTTCCTCCCCAAAAGCTAGATGCGTCTTATGGTCCGGAGCATCTTATAGTGTGAAAAATACGGTATTTATTTATTAGATGTATCCAGCTGCAGTGTAACCCTAGATGGCTCACAAGCAATAATAAAACATAAAAAACCTTAAAATCCAAATTAAAAACTTCCTATACCCTCCAAACTCAATACACCTTCCAAAATCCAGAAAAAAAATTAAAAGCTTCACTGGATGACAGCCATTCCAATATAGTATGTATGTACTTATATAAGTTTCATATCCCTTCATTACCCATTTTATTAGATTATTTCTGTAGTGAATAATCTCAAACTAAAGCAGGGATTGGTGAATTGACATTGGCCAGATGTTTGATTTATGGCAATCTTTCACCCTAGCTAGAAGCAAAAACTTCTGGTGGGTATTAGGTAGCTAATCTCTGCTTAGGGGAATATGTTTGATTGTCTACTCTCTTTATCACATTGCTTTAACTGAAGAGTTCTCTGCGCCTCCACCCCCTTACTTGTCTATTCTACTGTGCTCATTCGGGAGGAGGAAGGAGATTCATATAAAATGAAATGTTTCAAAATAAGAAGAGAAAGCAGTTTTGTCAAATATGCTGCTGGCATAATTGGAAAATTCATGAAAACATCTGCTATACCATCTCACATTTTATTAACGTGATTGATAAGTCCTCTTCAAATGGCAGTTAACAATTCTGTGTGTGAGCGTGCTTATATGTCTGTGCAGACTCATGCCTTTGAGCCAGTCTTGACTCCTGATCACTGCCAGAGCAAATCCCTGCAGTTTTCTTGGCAAGGTTTCAGAAGTGGTTTGCCATTGCCTCCTTCCTAGGGCTGAGAGAAAATGACTGAGCCAAGGTCTGCTTTGTCCTAAGAAGGGCTAGAATTCATACTCCCCCAGTTTGTAGTCCTATGTACCAAACTGGCTGTTAACAATAGGACTGCCCTGTACGATACGTGCAAATAGAAAATTGTATTACCCTGTTTCCCCCAAAATAAGACATCCCCTGATAATAATCCCAATAGGGCTTTTGAGCTCATGGCAATAAGGCCAAGCACTTATTTCAGGGTTCAAAAAAATATAAGACAGGGTCTTATTTTGGGGAAAACACGGTATGAAGGTGAATATATGTGTCCCAGGATAATGTTGCAGGATCCAAACTGGGACCAGAGGTTTTGTCTTCTGAGCTTTTGGACTCTTACTGGAGCCTATCTTCAGGAAACTTCTCTCTAGCAGTGTGTGTGCTGTTCTGTATGTGGTATTTATATGATGCCTGCTGTATGCGGCTTTTTAGATGCTGATTGGGGTGTGGTATGCTGGTGGTAAATCAGCACTCCTGTTGACTGCCAAAGGGCCTGTTTCCCAGGCTTCAATCACTTCCCTCGTTGTTTTTGTGCCTGCTCGTCCAACAATATTAATAGCTGCCAAGTTGAATACTTCAAGTACTTGAAGGAGAAGGATAGGCAGCACAAGCAAAGGACAGCCAACGACTTAAAAACCAGCCATCAACACACCCCAATCAGCATCTAAAAAGCCACATAAAATAGGCACCATATAAATACCACATACAGAACAGCACACACATTGCTAGAGAGACGTTCCCTGAAGATGGGCTCCAGCACAAGTCCAAAAGCTTGGAAGACAAAACCTCTAGTCCCTGTGACCGACCCTGATTGGATCCTGCAGAAAGTTGTATTGAATTTTTGTTTCTAAAATCCATTCTGTTATTGCATCTCCTCCTCCTTTTATTCATATTAGGATGACCTGAACTGGATGTCTCCTGAAGGCCTTTGCAATGTCAACAGACTACTGGATCACAGGCAGATCATGAAGGAGTACTGGGGGCTGTATCCCCCCAAAACATATTGCACAAGAAGAGGCACACTCTTTCTCTATTCGGAAGATGTAGCCAAACCGTGGAAATGGAAGTTGCAGCAAGGATGTCAGAACAAAAGCCAGACATTATGTGTAGATCTTCACACACTCCAAGATTTGGCACGGGCTATCTTAGTATATGGAAGCAAACAGGTATTGTTCATATATTTCAGATGTACACATGTTTAGTTAGGCTGATGGCATTTATTTAAAACATTTCTATACCACTTGTCATTTTAAAAATCCCAAAGCAGTTTACACTCATTAAAAATGCAGAAGAGAAAAACAGGATGAAAATAAGAGATGCCTATCTCTGGAATGGTTTGCTTTTAAAACAAACAGGCCACACGCTCAAGACTTTCCAGAAATTTTAACGCTTAGCTTTTCCAGAAGATCTTTGCGAACTGATTGTAAAATCATAGGCACTTACCATATATAGAGCTTTCTTATTGGACATTAACATTTATATTTTTGCTATTGAAGCTTTAGTACATAATTTTATTTCATTGCTATTTTAATATCACTAAATTATGCACAGTCCTTGTGGACTGACATGATAGATAATTTGGACAGATGGATAGATATTCTTGAAATCCCAAATACTAGGGAAAGGTAAAGACAGAAGGAAGAAGAATATTTAAAAGATACCTAAAAATGCCATTACTGGAGTCTGAAGAACAATGGAAGGGAGGTCATTCCACAGGGCAACTAGAAAGCCCATCATCCTCAAACATCAACTTGCAATCCATGGCTCTGACTTTACTATGACTTGCCAGCTAACTCCAAGCAAGTAATAAATTCTATTGACTAGTGCTAAGTTAGGTATGGAGTTTCACATGATGGGAGTGAACAAGTTGAAATTAAACCTGGTTAAGATTAACGTATTATGGTAAGTAGAAAACTGACCATAATTTAAGGTTCAGCCTTTCTTTGCAGTTGACCTGAAGCAGCATTTCTCTTGCGAGCAAGCTCAGGTCCCCACTTAAGAGAAAAAAAAATGTTACTTATGATGATTTTTACTTCTTTTATCAGATTTTACATTAGTAATGGTAGCTTTGGGCAGAAAAGTATTATGTATATCAAATTAACACTAATAATAGCAACAGGAGCAGCAAATGTCAATTTCACATCTAATTAAGCAAGAATCACTTTCATGGGAAAGAGGTAGCTGTGTATAAACATATCTATTGCTTTGTGGCTTGCTTCCCCACAAATGTTTTTAGAAGTATCTTTTGGGAAAGTACTTTGACTCATTGCTTTGTGAAACCCCTTGTTCTTCTGCCCAGAATTATGAGTCTCAGGTTTCATGAGAAGACAGTCCAGCTCAGGCCGCTGTTTATACATTTGGGAGTTTGAAACAAATGCCCTTCAACGGCTCCTTTAAATGAGATCTCAAACAGTTCAGGAATGCCTCCAGATGCTTCAGCTAGTGATTGCCAGAAGCATTTGGCATATCTGAATACATTTCCCTTCCAGTCAATTCTCTGTTGAATACTCTGGGAAGAGATCCATTCAGAAATACTGTCCAGCCCAGTGCAGACACCATGCCTCGACTGTGGACAAAAGACGTCTCTAAAATCACTGCCTGTGGTACGAGTCCATCAGTGTACCCAAGCATTGCATCCGTCAAAGATTAAAGGAGCAGAAAAAGAGGACTGCTGTGATGAAACAGATGAAATCCTGTGCCGATTGCCACCAACAATTAGAGTCCAGCAGGGGCACTCCAGGCGCTTTCAATGCATGCGGCCATAAGAGGAGGCGGAAAATTAAGATAGAGCATAGACTGAGATCAGGCACAGGGTTGCATTCTTTCCAGGAAATAGTCTTAGGAGGCTGCATTTCTAGACCTTTCCTTTCAAAGTTACTCTTGAGTCTTCCAAGATGTGGATGTAGGGTGTAGAAAATTACTGCTTTTCTAAATCAATTACTGACGTGGAAAACAATTTTGTTTTGTTGGTTAATTCATAAAATATGTGATTTACCTTCCCACTTGCACTATATAAGGTATGGAGAGTTTGTTTGATGCTGTGTTGTATCTATTTTTTTTTTTAAAAAAAGCACACACACACACCGGTATTTATACCTCATGCTAAAAGTTGTGATCTATGTAATGCAACCTGCAAGTTACTGATCCACCTCAGTCAGGAAAAAAATCTTGGACTGGATGTAGCAGAGATCTGTCTTAAATAATGAGTTGCTGCCTGAACTCTACTTCAGAAAGACTGACTCAAAGGTTAACTTTAGAGGATGTGAGGAATTTGGGGGGTGGGCTAAGTTGCCTGTGGAGGCAGCCGTAAACAGATGCTAATTCCAAATGGTGAGCTGAAGTAGCACTACCCAATTATTCTGGCCTTTTCTCCTTAACAATTTTTCCTTTAAAAAAGCAAGTAAGGAAATATTAGGAAAACATGGGAATATTACATATGTCAAGTAAATGTGTCCAGCTCCATTAATCAGTGAGATTTAGTGTTAAAAGCCTCTAGATGTACCCCAAAAATAACATCCATAATAAGGACTCTCCATGGGCTGCCATCCTGTGTCATTCCTATGAGTGACATCCACCGGGAATTGCGAATTGTGTTTAAGTCTCTTTCCATTTTCAGGAAAAGGAGCTAAAACCAAGAGTTCCTGAAGCCAAAGAATTCAAGATGGTAGCCAGAACCGTAAAAGGAACACTTAACTTCTTTTTATATGCATCCATGCACCAAAAAAGGAGCAGGGCTACAATCATCTGGTCACAGCCATCATTTTGCATTAGTTTCAGTTGAAAATGTTCTCTTTGACCAAGTATTTTAAATGGCACATTTTGAAACATTTAAATTCCTTTTTTATGGTTACATTTTAAATGATTAGCCACTATGAACATGAATGATAATGAGACAAAGTTTGAAATAAACTAGTAGTAGTGCTAAGCTCCTTCCACATTAAACCGTTACTTAATGGCCTTATTGAAGATTTGCTGCTGAAACTATAAAGTACTGGAAATGAAATGCCTATACAAATACCCTGGAGCGCAAGTGTATAAACTGAAACTTGAGAACTGAAAATAACTGGCTGATACCAAAGAAAACAAACAGGTCTACGCATGTCTGCTTTGACTCAATCCACTTGAGTCATTTTCTTAACAAAGCCCCAGTACATGCTAGAAGTAGGAGACAAAGTAGCATTCAGCTTAGGTAGAAACCAAGAGGTTTTGTCAACTCTCTGCTTTTCAAATCTTGATTCATATGAAAGGGAGGATAAGGGGACTGAAGAAGAGAAGGCCTGCCTTGCCACCGCAATCTGGAGAAGGGCATTTGAATCAGGAAGCATATTTCATGAGGTAACCCAACCTTGAGAATTTTTTTAAAAAATTGAAACTAAAGAAAACCTTGATTTATTCCAGCTTCTGATTCAATTAAATTGTTTCAATTCTGGAAAGTTTCAATAGTAATATGACAATAAAATTAAGTATTCAAATCATTATAGAAGACAATTTCTGCTCAATAAAGAAAGAAGAAAGGATTCTGAACCAAAGATTCCTCTCAGTCATCTCTAAGCACAATCCATTCTGTGAATCTCTTTCTCTTTCTCAAGCTTCATCTGATCAGAGACAGGGTGTTTTCTAGAGCCCCATGGAATCAGAGAAAAGTTGAAAATACCCAAAATCTTTTTCCACAGTACATCTATCTATTGGGATGGATTCTTGTTCATAAGTGCATATAATATGAACATAGTCAATAATGTAATTTCTGTTCCCATGTATTCTTAAGTGTCTGAGATTAGACTCAATGTCAGCATGCAGTACCTCTAAGTAGTAGCAGAATTCCTGTGACCTGACAAGGCCCATTGTTCCCTAGTTAGGGAATTAAACTTCATAGTAATCCATTGCTGGTGGTTAGTGCTCCATCATTGGCCCAGGAGGTCTTATACCAATCCAACACAGTGATGTGTAGGAGGGAGCCCCATGCTCTTCTAATTGCTGTCATTTTGTTTCCCCTCTGTTGTCTCAGACAGAAAACAAATGGCACATTGGGGGTGGAGTAGAAATAAAATGTTAGCTGCCAGAAAGGAAACTGATGCTCTTTTCATGAATTGAAAAAAAAAATTAAATTAAAAAGTTGTAGGGAGAAGCTTATTAATGCACTATGAAATAATCACTTCCTAAAAAAGAGAAGATTAGGAGGGCCTATCAGCATGAAGATCATTTTACCCAGCAGCTGACATTGTTTTATTTCCATTCAACTTAAAGTCACTTTAGTCACTTTAGAATCACTTAGGTGTGATGGGTGGTGTATAACTTTGATAAATAAATAAAGTGCTTGTGAGTTATTAAAAATATTTTCTCCTTTTCTCAGCATTGCTTCAAGAATTAAAGTATATTGTTTGTAAATATTACTTTAAGGTTTAGGCAATGTAAATAGTTCCCCTATAAATCTACTATAGCTGGGCTGAAAGAGTCCACATAACCGCCAGAGGCAGAGGAGAGCAAAATAAAGTTCTAACTCCTAATTGCCCTCTTTTGTTATTCTGATTATTTACATCCCAGATATGGGAGACTATTTCCCACTATCACAACTTGTATTTCCTCTTTACTGTGAGGATTCCCCATCAATCCTCCAAGGAAAGCAGTCATTCACTTTCACAAATACATCAGATTATTCAGTTTTGTAAAACAGTCACACTACAGAAATCAAAAGGGGGTTGCATGTTACATACATTTGTAAATGTCTCTGAAAGTCCAGTGGGAATTTATCTAACTGATGCTGGACAATTAGGTGCTGCTCCTAATCCAGTGAGATATGCATGCAGAGACCCCTACAGGTATACTTATAAAAATCCCCACCTGGACCTGGATTTTCCTGAAAGCCTAATTTACTTATTTATTATTAATTTATTAAATTTATTGGCCGGCCATCTTACTACAAGGTACGTGGGAGTCCCTTCTCTCAAGAGAGAGAGAAAAAGCACTTTTCTGGATGGAATATTAGGTTGTTTTACAATGGCACAGATTTCATTTCAAATAAATTTGAAAGACTAAAGTATTCTTGCTTTGTTGTATAAAAAATTGCAAACCTTTCAAGACCAGTTGCAAAACTATTGAAAGGGCTGATTATTCCCCAGCTATTAGCCAAAAGAGTTTATTCTTTTTCAGTTCAAAATACACTGAAATGTCAAATTATTCTTTTTAGCATGTGCTGCCAAAGCCATATATGCCTGGCTGCTTTCTAACCTGCTCTTACAATATACAATATGCCTACCTTCACACTCACTTGGCTCTTTGTAGTTTTCCATTATTTATTTATTTAGTAGGATTTATATGATTCTTCCATTCTGAAAGAATTCTGAGCACTTTTTTTTTTCAGTAAGAAGGTTAAAAATAAGAACCTATGCAACAAAATAAACATTAGCAATTAAACTGAAATCATAAAAAGCTTTGGCATTTGAGAACACTCAAGACATCCCCAACCCATAATGAGGCTCTCTCCTTTGTCTGTCTGTCTGAACCACCACATTGTTTCCTCTCTAACTCAGCGAGCTGGCAATACTTTCAAAGAAATGTTGGGAGGACACTGAATAAAATCTATTGTTCCTCAGTTTTAAGTAGAGGCACCCATTTTAAGCTTTTGATATTTTGTTTTCATATTAAAGCTGTGGCAAGATAAGAAAGGAATTGCTCAGCAGCCCTATCTGTACTTCCTGAAAGATTCAGACTGTGAGATGGTCAGATCGATGAGACCAGGCTATTCAGCCAAGAGGTACCTCCTCAAACTCTCCCAAAGCTGGGATCCAAGTGTTTTGCAAAAGCTTCAGAATGCAGGTTAGTATTATAAGAAAACAAACCCAAATTATTAAGATAGTAATTCTTACCTTCTCTGATGAAACAGAAAATAAAATGGTAGAAAGTATATTTTCAGATCAGTCTTGACCTTCACTACAGAATCAATTCAAATAAATAGAAGAAAATAACATTGTACTTGAGAGTAGATTGGGCCCAAATTGCTACATTCCTGGATGACAAATCGTGCTTAATAATAATTTGCAGAGAGAAAATATTTGGTTCTTTCCTCATATGCTATGCCCATCCTCTGTTTAAATAATTAAAACATATGCTTTGTGAGCAACGGGTCTCCATTTCAATCCCTTTCCGTTCCCAGTTGATGTATCATAGACAATACTCAATAGACAGATCAATGTTGAGTTATTTTACCCAACGGCAGCTGTATACTGTATATTTTTCAGGATATATCAGTGACCCCTTGTTGTTTAAGGAAAATGCAGCCGCTCTCAGGAAGAAATTACAGGATCTATCAGCTATTCCACCAAAGTATAATCTTCATTTTTTCTACACTCCTTGCTTGTACTCACAAAGTGAACTAGAAGAACAGACTTATTCAGGTACAGTACAAATACATATATTTTAACAGAATTAGTTACCATTGGATTTTAATTTTTGCAAAGACATCCATAACAATTTAGGACAATGTCAAAGGGGCAACATGCATGATATCATCACACAAAAGCCATAATTACATGGTTACATCACAATGATAATGGAATTATGTAAAATTATTAGCTCTCCCTTTGCCGCTCTGCAGATGCCTCCAAGGTTGTTGCCAGGAATGGTTTGGAGTATCTGCTATATCTGCTCCTGGTTTGGCCATGTTTTTACATTCGTGAGATTGGAATTACTGCATCTTGGTTGACATTGGTTTTCAAACTTCAAATGTGATGGGAGAAAAAATTCTGGGGATATGTGACCCCTTTTTTCCCATCTGCCTGAAAATCTGTTTCCAAGTACAATTCAAGGTCTGAATATTAACTTTAACTCCCTAAGGCAGAGGTATCTAACCCCAGGCTGTGGCCTATTACTGGGCCGTGAGCCATTTGGAACTGGGCTGTGGAAGCGGCAGCAAGTATGCAGCCACGCATCCCTATTTGCATGTGCAGCAGGCAAGCACAGGCAAGCACGATCCATTTGCACAAGCAGTGGTGCATATGACTGCTGCTTGCACAAATGGAGCTGCAAGCCACTCATGCGGAACCATCCCCTCTTCCCCAACCTCCAGTCCGCAAAGCTAGAAAGGTTGGGGAACTCTGCCCTAAGAAGTTTTGGAAGAGGATCCTGGAGTACTGTATCCTGTTCTCTATAATAAGCCTGCCAAACTGTTAAACTCTTGGGTGATGGCCTTGTTACTAAGAGTTATAGACCATTTAACAGTGCCTATCAGAGATGATCAGATCTGATGCATCATTTAACTACCCAACATACATATAACTTCTAAATTACTGAGAGTCTAATGAGATTGAGGCAGTATATACATTCCCTAAAAAAATAAAATAAATGTTGGTGCATTATTCTTCTTTATTTCACTAAGGTACACTGAGAATATCTTCCATAATATATCATTTTATAGAATCATATTGTCACATCATGTCATAATATTCATAAAAAAGAAAAAGCACCAATATTTTCCAATTCAAGTGAGTACTTCTAGTTATTATAGGTAGAGCAGTATGGGTAGTCCTTGACTTATGACAGTTCATTTACTGACTATTAAAAGTTACATCAGCACTGAAAAAAGTGACTTATGACTGTTTTTCAGAGTTACAGCCTTTGTAGCAGCCCTAGGATCATGTGATCAAAATTCACATGCTTGGCAACGGTTTCATATTTATGACGGTTGCTGTGTCCCAAGGTCATATGGTCATCTTTTGCAACCTTTTGACAAGCAAAGTCAATGTGGAAGTCAGATTCACTTAATACTAACAGCAGTAATTCATTTAGCACCTGTGGCAAGAAAGGTCGTGAAATGGGGCAAAACTCACTTAACAAATGTCTAACTTAGCAATGTTGGGCTCAATTGTCATAAATCGAGGACTACCTATACTATTTTTAGGAAAACACCAAGTTTAAAATTTCTAAAGCAAATGAATGGGATGGTAGTTTGTTAAGCCTGATTTGTGAAAGCTGCCCATCCTATTTAGGAGTGACCCACTGAACATGCTTAGATGTATTTATGAATAGCACAGACAAGATTAGGCTGAATCATAATTGTTCCTTGATGTACAATGCAGCCATTTTGGTCATTTATTTCCGGGCTAAGATGTTCCTTACTTCTTAGGTCTTGGTCCTCCATTGCGTAAAAAGTCAGAAAATAAAGCCTGCCTGGTGAAAGGTGACGCAGAACATAATGCCAGAGAAACAGGTCGAATCCCTTTAAGAATTTCTGTAAGAAAACTGAGTTTTCATCTTCAACCACAGCATTCCAGAGAAAGCATCTGGAATCAGAATGAGGCACACTGGCAGATCTCTGAGGTATTATACTTTCTTTCCCCATAAAATAGTTTCTCCAGCTCCCAACTGCTTAATGATGTCCTGTTCTCATCAATAAAATAAAAGGTTGAATGATCTTGCAGAGATACAAGGGTGGCTTGAATGCCTCAGAGGACATATTTATTTATTTATTTATTTATTTTATTAAATTTTTATACCGCCCTTCTCCTGCTGGACTCAGGGCAGTGAACAGCCAAGAATAAAAAACATCCAATACAAAATTTAAAATTATTAAAAGAATTAAACAAATTTTGGCCCAGATTTAAAACATCCCAACTAAAATATGTGGGGATGTATGTATTTGCTGACCTGTTATGCTGTTCCTATTGTCACTGGGTCTGAGTGGCTTACATCTGCTATTCCATAATTGTTTTTCATCAAGATTGAATAACTGTTAAATCACAGTTTTTTGCCAGGGACAATAAACAGACTCAGTTCAAAACAGAGCATCAGACCTCAGCAGGGAAGCCTCATGACGCGCCTGTTGCCAAGGCCTGCTGAAAATGAAATTGTTGTGGCTTTTCTAGGGCCCGCTTTAGTGAGGCTTTAAAAAAATGGGGGGAGGCTGTTCCAAAAAAGAGGGGCAGCAGTTAAAAAGCTCCTTTACTTTAATTAGGCCTCTGTCTAATAGCTGACTGGAAAGGAGTATATCCTAGAGCAGGTGAGGGTGTGATGATGTAATGGGATGGGAGAGAGGGAACATAGGAAAGTTGGAGATGAATTGCAGCCTTTCCCTCCCACCTTTATTTTAAGGTTATATTATGTTTTACATACAATTTACTGCAATCACAAAGAGTATTATAGGAAGAAGCTGCAATAATTTTACTACTACTACTACTACTACTATTGTGTTATAGTTATTTCTATCATTAGCACTTGCTTGGTAGCGAACTCTTATGTGCTTCTCTCCTTCTCAGTTTTTATAAGATGTTGGCCATCATATGTCTTCCTTTTTTTTAATGTGTAGGAATATCTGCATGTTAGGGAAAAATAGAGAGATTCAAAACAAAATGCTGTCTGTCTCCCTCTCTCCCTCTCCCTCCCTCCCTATTGTGTTTCATACATACAGAGATAATACCCTTAAGTAAATTATAAAAGTGAGGCCTACCCAAATACGATTGTTCAGGAGTAGGAAGCTTTCAAATATATGGATAATTCACTGCACTCCCCATATAAACCAAATAAAACCTTTAAACTATAACTACTGCTGAAGCAATGAGAATAGTATAACTGCTAAATTTCCTCCTCTTTTATAAAGAGGAAAAGAATATCATTTGCCCTTTTGTTTTCCTTTTCTCCTGATATTGTATTCTTCTGAAATAAAGGCAAGCATTTTACCTTTAAATGGCAATTTGGAAAGTTAAATGAGGGTCCCTCTGTTATCTTGATATCAAAGAGAAAGGTAGGTTCTACAGCCTTTAGTTCATTTTTATCTCTTTTGGCCACCAGGAGGCATGGCATTGCTGGTTTCACCTTATTGATCATCAGATCAGTCATCAGATTGTCAGATGTGAGTGGCCAGATGTTATTCTGTGAGGCGCAAATCCTTTACTGGGACTTGAACTCATGGCAATTTGAATGATTATATACAGCGCAATAGCTTTATAAGTTACCAGGCTGCTTACATTTAGCAGTTTGCAGGGAGGGATATACAGAAGTTATTAGAACGTTACTATAGGGAGAGCTTTATTTAGCTAGTGAATTGTTCTCTGCTGGCATCAAATAGAAGTGCTGGGGTTCATTTAATGAAGATAGATAAAAGGAAATTTTGCTTTACACAATATTAACTACCAACGTGAGAGTTTTCAAAGGGAATTAGACAGATCCGTGGAGGATACGTCAGTGGCTGCTTAATGGAAGTTGAGGCTACTGCTACTTAATGACTGCTTCATTATTTTACCAGTATTAGAGACAGTATTCCTCTCGATAATAGTTGCAGAGCAACACAACCAACATAATGCTATGAACTTAATATTGTGTTGTGAGCTTTTTGTTGGTATCTGGTTGACCATTGTGAGAAGAAAGTGATAGGACAGAAATGTCTTTCATCTGGACAGGCTAGCAATTTATGGCGCATCCAGCCATTGTTGTGGTGCTACTGTATATCACTGCAGCTTTGTCTTCCCATAGTGGTGGTTAAATGATGTTACAAACTGCTAATGCAAAAGGACTCTTTATTTTCTTATGAATAGAACAGTTGGTTTTTTTCTCTTTACTGGTTTTTAAATGCAGCCTTTCAAGTGGTCTTGTTTACCTTCTTTTAGGACAGAGGGGTAGAACGTCACCAAGGTGGAAAGACCAAGAAGGAGCCACATAACTGTGAAATGCCAAACCAATCAGTAAATTTTCCATTATTGGGAAATACACGAATTGACACCTCTGAATTTTGGTGTGAGCAATCCCATGTGAATTTCTATGGTGGCTTCTTTCCTGGAAAAAAGATCACATACAGTGGTAAGAAAATGCTGCAAATTTATGAGCCAAATTAAAAGCCACCACTATATTTTTATTTGTAGAGGCAGTGGGTAGTTGAGAACCATTAATGGCCCAGTGTTTCTGCCATTCAAATAAAGATATTCAGTATTCCAGAATGTAGGAATAAATGCAGGAATTAATGATGTTGCAGGAATGGTTGTATTTGTATATTTGTGTACATGACACATTGAACCACAAACCGAAATGCCAACTACGTTGTAGTTACTGTCTGGTAAAAATCGAGTCTGCATAATGTAGTGGTCCAGAAATTGGACTAGAATCAGGAAGACCTAGATTTGTACTGGAGGAAAGAAGAACTATTTAATGAGCAAACAAATAAAGGTTCATAATATTATGTGGATTGAGAACAATGAGCTAATTGAGTAAAGCACAGCCAGGTAACAGAGAGTTAGCATGGTATGCAAACATAGTCATTATACCTCCCTCTGCTGGAATTTTTTGAATTACCGGTAAGTACAAAAACCAACAAATATCACCATGGGGCTACACTCTGCTATATTACACTTGCTTTCCGGTAAATAGCTTCTTTTATATCAGAAGCAAATACTGCAACTTTTGGAAAAGAGAAAGATACAAAGAATTGGAAATTGGTTTTTGCCAGCTGGTATAATGATTGGTTGGAAACCATATTCTACCGTAATATAATACTATTTCAGACATTACATTGCCCAACATAGCTGCCTTTTGTAATCTGAGAGCTTCCTTACAAAGAAATAGCTTAATCCTTGCTGAAATGATCAAGCCACAACTGGAACATAATAATTTGTATTTAACATAATAATTTGTAGATAGTATCCACCTGAGAGTTTTATACCCCCAAAAGATGATGGTGGGGAGAATATCAGGGAAAAGACTGCTATTTTTTGCATGTAAAGTTGTAAAGGAGCATTTTGTCATGTAGGCTCCATTTCCAATGTAATATCTACAGCCTATCACAGAGTGAACACTGATTCAATCTTCAATTCAGCTGTAACAGTTTTCTGCATAGATTTTGATGAGAATTAACCATGGCTAGAGAGAAGGAAGGCAATTTTGGTTCTCTGTTTTCCTGTTTGTTTCATAGTTAACCAAAATCATCTGAAGAGCACTGCTAGCAGAGGAAGAGGACTCTCTGAAGACACAGAAGTGTTTCCCCTGATTAATCTAGGAGGTAGTAAAGAGCAAGATGAAAACACAAAGAAACACAGGAAGCTGGTCAGTTCTTTTGCCCATCTGCCAAATCCTACTATTTTGAGGGGTGAAGGATGAGTCTGAATGCTTAAGAACCATAAAAATAGTTCAAATATTTAGAATTTGTTAGCTTTAAAAAAGGATTAATTCTGGAAAAACGCACATATGTATATGGAATAAACTGGAGATTACTATTCTGCTCAAGACAAGTCTGAGGCAAGACTGGTTTACATAGGAGATTTCAAGTATGCCTCTATAGGTCTCCTGCATGAAAAATGATAAGGAGACAATTGTTCCAAAGTTAAGAAAATATTAAATCAATGAATTAATAAGTCTAGGACTGGAGGAGAGGCTACCAATTTAATAAATATGCTAGTGATCTAGTTTTCAGCATTCTGCATGGCCTCCTATTCTAACATTGTATCACAGATCAACTGAAATGCAATAGTACGTCCAACAATTAATCATTCCGAAAGTATATCCCAATAAGGAGAAATTGTACTCTGGGGTACAATACGATGTAGTTCAGTGTCCCTGAGGCTGCAATTCAATTTTAATTGGAGGGAACTCCACTGAACAGATCAGACTGTGTGTCTCATTAAAATCAAAGGGAATTAAGCCTGTTTAACGGTTTATTGCACTGTGTCCTGTATACTTTTTTTCATGTTGCATATATATAACAGAAAGTCTCCTAAATAGCATGGTGAAAAGCTTAACACAGCCTTCCCCACTGGGTACCCTCCAAGGGAATTGGACTTCAATTCTTCTAATCCCCAGGCTATATTGGCCATGCTAGTTGAACTATGGGAGCAATGCCCAATATCAAGAGGGATCAGGCTGGGAAAAATGATACACATACACATACCCCTTTTATAAAATCTGTCCATAGCAGGGTAAGTGTGCATTTTTAGGCACATGATTTTGATGTGTTTTCTGTCATTTGGAACAATTTGTTGTGCAAAAACTGTCTTAAGATCTGTGGCATTCGCTATATTAAAAAGTGCTTTGAAGCTCTGTTTTTCTCCAGGTGCCAGAATTTTGCAAGTTACCTCAAATAACTGAAAGCTCACCCAGCGTTCAAAGGGAAAAAATAAAACCCAGTGAGCTTTCAAAAGAACTTATGATCCTTCCACTGCTGGTTCAGTCGGAGTCTCCAGCTAAAGCAAAAAGCTCAAGAGGTACAGCCACACCCTTCAGATGAAGGGGACTTGCTCATTACAGGTAGAGAGTCAGCAAAACCAAACTTCCAGAATGGGTTTGATAACTTGATGTCTGCTTAAAATAGCTGCCTCTGGATAGGCTTGGTTTAGGTGGCTGTTCCCTTCTCTGTTGAAACATGATGCATACATCAAAAGTTGTCTGTCAGCTCATTTCAAAGGGTGCTGCTCCCACCAGCAGAATACTTGCCAAACTCCAAACACATATTCTTTCTCTAGCTTTGTCTTGAGGGTCTCTCTATTTTTACCTTGTGGGTCCTCATCACTACTTGCTCTCTTTCATGTATCTTAAAGAAAACAATCTTAATCTCCCTTTCCCAAGAATTTCCTTGATTTTCTGGATTGGCATTGCCTGTTGACATAATCTTAACTGGCTTGTTTTCTTTACTATTGAGCAGCAGCCCAGCCTCTTCAGCAAGATAGTTTTTAAAATTTTCCTCACTTCTAGCCATCAAAGTGGTTTCACGAGCATAGATATTCATGACCTAATCATTTCTTCCTTTAGCTTAAATTTATTTAAACTCTTGTACAATTCCCAAAATTATCCCAAATTTTTTCATTATCATAATTTACTGGATTATAACATGGAACTACCACAACCTATGAATTTCTATTTTCATACATCATACATCAAAAGTATAAAGGAAAGTGTGTCTCTACAACAACCTATAATCTCCCATTCATAGCTTCTGATATACAGTTTCAATCCTTCGTTCATAGTTAAACCTGAATCTTTATTTCCATGTCTGCATTTGTCAACTCAGTTCCACAATATCAGTTTACCTTTGTCCAGATCTATTACATTCCCTTTCTCTTAATTTTACAGGCACACAATATATGTAAACTCATATTTGGAGTAGCATATTTCAAACACAATTAAAGTCCAGATTTACTCCAAGGATATGCACAGTGTTCAAGCCAAGTTCTCTTATCTAGATTAACCTTGCAAGCTCAGAGATATATATGGTGTACTGTTACACTAATTTAACTCTTACTCTTTTTGTATAAGGATTTGCACATTTCTTTGGAGATAAATATCAATTTCACAATTATTTAGTCAATATTGTGCAAAATGGATGACCATTTCCATTTTACTACAAGTTTACTTTCAGGCCTCCTTTCAGCTTATGCATTACTACAATAATGCTAAACAATTGCAGAAATGAACTAAAACAGAGTGCATTGAGTTTTTCATTGTCAGCATTATATAATTCTAAAGTTTCCATACTTTCTGCAAGGTAGCTATCAAGGCCATAGTTACATACACATTTACCTGAATTCAGTTTATTTCTGAGTAGATATATAGATAATTGCATTATATGTGATTATACATTAACTATAAACTTTTAACATGTTCGTTTTAATTTGGCTATGTTCCAGCGGTGGGTTTCAGCAGGTTCTGACCAGTTCTGGAGAACCGGTAGCAGAAATTTTGAGTAGTTCTGAGAACCAGTAAATGCCACCTCCGACTGGCCCTGCCCCCATCTATTCTCTGCCTCCTGAGTCCCAGCTGATCCAGAGGAAATGGGGATTTTGCAGTATCCTTCCCCTGGAATGGGGCGGGAATGGAGATTTTACAGTATCCTTCCCCTGCCATACCCACCAAGTCATGTCCACCAAGCCACACCCACAGAACTGGTAGTAAAAAATTTTGAAACCCACCACTGCTATGTTCATATTTTGATTGTGGATCAGCAGCTGTTAGGATTTGTTCTCTTACTTTGCAGGGACTTGTTCTAAAGAAGTCAAATCTGAGACTGATGTCATTGATAAGCCATTGGCCCTTTTGCCAAATGATCTAGTTTCAGACACCAAACGTAGAAACAAGCAGAGGCAAACTATCAATGATGGCCTTCTAAGGGCTTCCCAAGATACTTTTTATCTACCCCTAATAAATCCAGGCAAGTTTGCACTGAATGATGGGAAGAAAAGAAAGAGAGAAGTGTCCATTGGAACTGACAACACAGAACAAATAGGTAAGATAAATTTAGTTAACAATAGCATGAGCTTAAATGGCCATTAATTAGAGTTGCTCAATTTTAAACAGGTTTTCTTCAATGGTTCAATTTTCTAAAGATTATAAATAGCTGAGTTTTCTTAAATTATATGCCAAACTCGCAAATTTGCAGATATGAAGACTGCAGATAGTCATGAATATAACCACTAAAATACAGATAGTTTTTGACTTATAACCATTTGTTTAGTGACCGTTTGAAGTTATAACAGCGTTGAAAAGAATGACTTATAACCAGTCCTCGCACATATGACCATCACAGCATCCACACAGTCACATGATTAAAATTTGAGGGCTTGGCCACTGGCATATTTATGATATGCCGGGGTCATATGATCATCATTTGCAACTTTCCCAGGCAGCTTCAGGCAAACAAAATCAATGGGGGAAACAGGATTCACTTAATAACTACATGATTCATTTAACAACTGCAGTGAATTGTGTAACAACCATGGCAAAAAAAAAAAAAGGTGAGAATTGGGTGCAACTCATTTAACTGCCTTGTTAGAAATCATGGTTGTAAGTCAACCACTACCTGTAACGGTTTGTTTAGAAGAAACAGTAAACTACAGAGAAATATTTAGGATTTTAAATGTTGCTAATTTCCAATACTGGTTAAATCTGAGATTTTCTTTTAGTCCAGAGAATTTATTTCCATTGATATAATATTATTCCTCTTTGTCTCAACCCCTTAATTTCAAGAAAGCCATAAAAGCACATCGCTCAATATCCTTCTGACCAGTCCTAATGGAGAAATGATCTGTCCATCACTTTTGAGATCTGTTCAAACTACAGATAATCCCAGGGAATTTGAACTAGCTACAGATGAAGAAGGTAAGGAGAAAATGTTTGCTTTAAAAAGAATAGATTTGCTCATATAATTTAAATGTCAGACAGCAGGAATAAAGAGTGTAGCCAGATTAATAGATCTTCTTTAGACAATATTACTTTTGGTATTAACAAAACTGCTAATGTGTGTGTTCCTTTATGTAAATTATTACTTAATGAGAGGGTAGAGCCAAGATAGGGAAGAGGCATCATCCACTGTAAAGAGCTCCTCCAAAGGGGTACTTTTTTATCATTGTACTTTTGCTATTTGCTCACTACAAGCAATATTTTCTTTTCTTTATAGTAAATCTCTACAGAAGCATTGATTGGTTGATAACATTCTATCAAATCAATAGCAATAGCACTTAGACTTATATACTACTTCACACTGCTTTATAGCCCTCTCTAAGTGGTTTACAGAGTTGCATATTGCCCCCAACAATCTGGATCCTCGTTTTACCGACTTGGAAGGATGGAAGGTTCAGTCAATCTTCAGCTGGTCAGGATCAAACTCCTGGCTGTGGATAGATTTAGCCTGCAATACTGCATTCTAACCATTGTGCCACCATGGCTCAATGTTGACTCTTAGCAACCATACTGAGAGATTTTCTCCATTGCCACTGTAATTGAGTCTATCAACCTTGTTATTGCTTGTCCTCTTCCCTTTTCTTCCACCTTTGCCAGCACTAGAACCAGTGGTGGGTTGCCCCTGGTTCAGACTGGTTCGCAAAAACCGGTAGTAAAACCGGCTGGAGGCCCTGCCCACCGCCCGGATGTTATTATCAGCAATCTGCACATGCGCAGAAGTTTCTGCACATGCGCAGAAGTTTCTGCACATACGCAGAAGCAAGGCACATGTGTGAGCAAAGCAAGCACACGCGCGAGATCCCGTTGCGAACTGGTAGTAAAGGTAAATAGAACCCACCCCTGACTAGAACCTTCTCCAGAGAGACAGGTCTTCGCATGTGTTTGAAGTTGGGTAATTGGAGCCTGGTCATTTGTACACTGAGTGAGAACTCTTAAGTTGATTTGTTCAATGCTCCTCTTGTTTGTTTCCTTGGCTGTCTATATTATTCCCAGGGGTCTTCTCCAACACCAGAATTCAAAAGTGTCAATATTTTTTCTATCCTGTTTCTTCAAACTTTCACTTCAATAAAGTGTCACAAGGAATACCATTGCCTGCATTATTTTGATTTTTCTAAAGGAGAAGGCAGCTTATTTTTATCCTGGTCAGGTGGTGATATTCTGCGTCAGCCAGCCAAGCTTTTCAGAAGTACTTTGATGTAATTTTCAGAATTTGATTGAGGTTGTTGGTGTGCAAAGGGGAAAAAAAGAATCTTATTTTTTTTAAATTTGTTTCATTTTTTATGTTCCCCACTCTTTTCCAATAAATATGCACATATATTAGCACCTGTACAAAATTAACAGAGCATTCCTGTGATTCTGTTAACAGTGATGGTTTGCTAGTTAGATAGGAGCTATTCAAACAGTTTCATTTGTACAGAGAAATGCTTTCCATCTCAGCCTATCCTTAGTAACCATCAGCAGCAATTTCATTCTATAATCTCCTTGATCTCATCCATCTGTGTTATCCCTGGTCTTCCCATTCTTCTATTTCTCTCAGCTTTGCCAAGCTATCTGTTTTTTCTAGACCATCTGTCTACATCATATGTCCAGAATATGGATATTGTGCATGCTGTTCATTGCCTCATTTTTTTGCATTTGACTGATTGATTCAGATAGCCATTAACACCAGTATAATGTCTGGATCACATAGCTGGGGATTCTATGTGTGCACACGTACACACACACACACACACACCAGCAAAGAAAACAGCAACACAATACCACTTTAAAGATAGCATAACATCCCAGTCTTCATGGGATTGCCACTTCCAACCACTTACTACCATATACTCCATGTTGATAATGACCTCCACATTATCAGTCCATGTGCAATTAGAGTACAATACTCATTGGTCTCTCTAATATACACAGGGAACACCACCTGTCCAATATGAGAGCATTACCTTATCAGAATACAATAACAAGACAAGAGCCAGGATCTGGTTCCAGTGATACACATTGCAGGATTTTCTGCAGATGAAGGATATATTCTTTTTGTAATAGAGACTACTGTGCAACTAGCAACACTCTTGTTAATAGGCAAATAAACCATACAAATAAATGATGGCTATTCTCATCACAAGCACAAGAACCAATCTAACCTGGTGCTTCTTTTTCTCTGTATTGTCATGTCTGGCTCACTAGAATGACAACAATGCACTCTCTGCATTATTCTTATTAATGCTGTTTCTCCTACTTTTCATTTTTCTAAAACTAGTTTCATTACTCTTTTACAGTGATTGTGTTTGTCCGATACTACTAAATTGTGTTCCAATATTCACTGACACCATTCAAACATCAAATAAATAATGCATTAACCCAGTTGTCAAGGCCTTTGTAATCTCCTCGGGATATAGTACATCTTACTGAGCTAGCATGGAAATGGCCTGAAAGGGAGTTGTAGGCCTCTAATTGTAGAGATATAATATCTCTACAATATTATTGTAGAGGCTCACTCTGGCTCAAACTTTTGATTCTAAAGCTGCAATCCTTTATAGAATCACACTGAAGTTTGTGAGTTTCCAGTGAACATCAGTGAGCTCTGAAAGCAGTGAGATGAAGAGGGTTGCTGCTATTTTTATAATTGGGCTTCTGTGCCTTTGAACGATATACAAAACAGAAGACTAAACTCAAATAAACTAGACACTTGAAAGAGTAAAAAAGTATGATTAAGAACCCCAATGGAGAGATACAGCTTCTCTGTAATACAAAAGTTTTCACTGAAACTATATTCAGTAATGCTTTGCCTCGCTCAAAACTAAATCAAGGATCTTCCAAGCAGTGAGACATATTAGTTAGAGGCATAGCCCTTCTGTGCTTTTCTGATGGGTTTTGCCAGGGTCCTACAGCCAGCCACCTGTAGGCATTAGCAACCTGCTCTTTGGAGTTTGTGATTAGAACAGACAGTTGTTTGGGTCTTCTATTATGCAAAATGTTCTGAGATGCAGGGCCATCTCTACTGGCACTTTATAAGACAAAAAGGCAAAATAATATCCTGGGCTAGAAGAAAAAGAGTGTACAAATTATTAGTAGTAGTAGTAGTAAAAACAAAAATGATAGAATAATAGAGTCATATTCATCCTCTATTCTCTAAGATATGAGCTCCACAAATGAAGCTTATTCCTTTTTGGTATTATGCAATGCTGTAAATTAATCAGAGACCAATTTCTCTGATCCTTGGTGGCTGTGAGCTGAAGATAGAGATTCTCTATAGAATTAAATTGCAAAGCAGATTCCGGATAGGGGAGAAATGGTCTGTGCCTCCACAAACAGCAGAGACAATATGGCAAAGAAAGCCAATGGTGCTTCTCCGGACAAGGAAAGTCCAGGAGATTGCCCACTTTGCTCCAAAGGTCTGTTCCTCATAAGAAGACCCACAAGATCTAAAGAGGTTTTGCAGGCATTCTGCGAGTCTGAACAACAGCAGCCATGGAAGAGATAGCAAGCTCACAGCCTGCATAAAGACATTGGTTTTGCAAACAACCATCCCCCCGCAACTTTTTAAATAAATTTGGAAGACAATTATCTTAAAGTCAAAGAGATCTTCAGAGGAGCAGAGCAATCAAGCCACCCAGTGAGTGATCCTTCTCCCCAGATTAAGGATGAACCAATTTAAAGGATTTAAAAATGATTAAGGGCAAATTGTTGCCAAAGGTTTAAACAAAGAAATTTTATAATCAACTAAGGAGATTGTTGAATTTAAAATTATTGACTTTAAAAAAAATTTGAAACAAATAAGTAATCTATATTTCCATGGGAGAGTTTTGTATGGAATGATTGGAAATGATTGGTTAGCTCTGCAAAAGAAAAGATAAAGGAAAGTTGCTTAAGACCATCTGAGGGCAGAACTACAAAATGTTAAATGGAACTAAAGACTTAATGATCCAGAAAAAACAAAGGGGTGGGATAAAAAATCAGCTCTTCTTTTACTTTTATTTCTTCTTTGTCTGTTGAAATGGCTATTACTAGAACAGTAGTAAAATTTATAGAAATGACAGAAAAAGGATTACACTTGAGATATTAGAAAGGATCATTGAGGAACTGGGAAAGAATGTTACAGCTAGAATAGCAGCATCAGTAACTGCTTTTGTGAATGCAACATTTAAAAGAGGAAAGAAAAGATGGAAGAAGATGTGAAAAACAAATCTGAATAATTTGCAGGATAACTGAGTGGAAAGGTGAAGCAAATACAACTCAAGATGACAATTTTGGAAAACAAAATAGAAATCCAGGGATAAAATATAAATATTAAGTCAAGAGCAAAAAAAAACCTTAGATAATGGACTATTACTGGCTTACAAGATAAATAATCATGTTTCAGACAAAAGGTTTTCACTTGGTGAAAACAGTAATAAGAGTATTTTGGAACCTTTAAAAAAATTAGAGTGGGAGGAAGAAGACATGGATAGATATCAGGTCCTACAATAACATCTTAATGTCAAGTTAAGGATTAATAAAGCTAGAACAATGTATAAGAGAAAATAATACAACTTGGCTGTTTGATCAGGAATAGGTAATAAGTATTGTAGGAAGTTAGCACCCACCCCTTTCCTGGAAGAATGAAATATTTTAGGAAATATTAAAAAGGCAGAATATTATATTTTCTGGATGAGAAATGGAGAAACATGTTTTAAAAGACAAGCAGCTTCCTGCCTCCCCCCACCACACCTTTGTTAATGGGCCATAATCTGCAAAACAATAGCAACAGAAACTAACACAATGGGACCCATCGAGGACAGAAACTCATCACATGGCACCTGGGAAGATTACATCAGCCAGCAAGACTAGTTAAGACCCTCACCCCTTGGGAGTCTGACAACCAATCAGGATACTCTTTCGGGGCCCCAGAAAGTTCAAAGCCAGAGAGAGCATAAAACCCG